AAGGCAAAGCCAGAACAGGGACAACATCGGACAAAGAGAAATCGGAGATCTCTGAGATCCTCCGGCGTTTCTAGAGGATTATCGGGCGCCGCGGCCTTCGTGGTCCCGCACATCGCTCCGTTTGGTGGGCGTCCAAGAGGGGGGCGTCTCCCAAATCATGGCTGAAACACGTGCGCGGACGAGGGTGGGACCCGGGGACGTATTGAGAGAAGGGGGCCATGATAAACGGGGAGATTGCATGGCCCTGGGCATGATACTCACCCACCCCTACAACCCCCGTCGAAGCCAAACACAAGTTTGTAAAGTTAATCGACGCGCGAAACGCGGCCCGCGGGGCCAGCGCGGCCCGCGGGGGCAGATGTTGTGTTTGCAGTCGCCACTTTCGGCGCGGACATTGAAATTTGTGGGTCCTGGGGCGCCGCCAGGTCGCGGGAAGAACTTTGCCTTTGAGTAATCACCCCCCTCTTGGCTGCCACCGACCTCCACTGGCGGCCCGCCGCTGGCCGGCGCGCCCTGCCAAGACTGGCAGCGAGGCCCGCCATGCTGCTTCGGGTGTGCTGACACTTCGCCGTTGGGCCTCGTGCACGGCGGGGTCACCTCACGACTGCGTCGGCATCGCTCTCTGACACCGCGTGGACCGTTCAGCCTTCTTATCGTGCTCCTCTCGTCGTCGTCATCATCATCAGAATCCTCCTTCTCCTGTTTCTCCTCCTTCTCCTCTTCCTCCTCCTCCTCCTCCTCCTCCCCCTCCTCCTCCTCCTCCTCCTCCTCCTCCTCTTCTTCTTCTTCTTCTTAGTATTATTCGTCTTCGTCTTCTTCTTTTTCTTGTTCTTCTTCTTATTATTAGTCTTAGTATTCTTTTCCGTATTCTTATCATTTTCATTATTCTTCTTATTATTATTAGTATTATTCTTATTATTGTTATTATTATTATTATTAATATTATTATTAGTAGTAGTAGTAGTATTATTATTAGTAGTATTATTATTATGTTATTATTATTATTCCTCCTCCTCCTCCTCCTCCTCCACCTCCTCCTCCTCCTTCTCCTCCTCCTCCTCCTCACTAGACACTACGGGATGTCAAGCAACAACACCGACCCAGGACAAAAAAAGCCAGCTCCAGAAAAAAAATGCGGCTTTCCCACAGCGCGGGTCCGTCGGTATGGGCCGATGCCAGGCCGCTGGCGGCGCTCCACCTCGAGCGGCAGCGCTAGGATAGCCGCCGCGTCGACACGACACGACACGACTCGACGTCGACGCCTGCCATGCAACAAGACCGTACACAGCGGCAGCGCATCCGAAAACCGCCCGAGCCGACAGCGACACCGGATCTGCTGGGAGCGGCTGGCAACGACGCAGCGCGCGACCAAACCGAGGCGACCGAGCGCGGCTGTGGTGTGACGCAGCCGAGCCGGCCGAACCGGGCACTCCTGCTTTGGCCGTCGCAGCCTCGCGCGCAGCGGCGAGGCGGAGGAAGTCCAGGAGCGGCGGGGGGCAAGGCGCGCGCGTCCGAGCCCCTCCAGGTGCGAGATCGCCTTGGATCGCCGCACGTGGCCACCCGGGCGGGCGGAGCAGCACACAGCCATCCGGACATGCCGCTGCACACCCGGGGTCTCAGCGACGGCTGCGCAGTGCGGGCACGGCCATGCGCGTGCATGCCTGGGCCCCCAGGAGCCTCCCCAGGGGCGGCGCGCTGGCCTGGGTGGGCGGAGGGCGCCCGGGCGCCCAGGAGGGGACGCGGCGGAGGCGTCGCGGTGGCAGTCACTGGCCACGGCTGCTACGCGGAGGGCTCCGGTAGCTCACCGAGAGGTTCTGGCAAGTTCGTGCCGTGAAGACATTCGCGTTGGATCCTGACCCTGCGTGGATCGTTCAACGTTGAACTTGGAGTACCATCTGGGACCTGCTATAGAACAGGAGCATACCGTAGGCGGATCAGCCCTTTCTCAGACCGCGTTCGGGGCTGCCTATAGACGCATGCGCCACTAATGTGTCTACACACGTAACGGCACCCAATGCACAATGTGTCTATAGACGCTTGTGACTAAAAAGTGAGGACGGTATTTGGCATATGCCCCAGAGATTGGTCTTCCAGTAACAGGCAGACTTGCCCTCGAGGGCCCGATCTGCGACCCTCGAGGCCTGGCGAGGTTGGCGGACAACCCGTGCCGGCGTCGGCGACGTCGACTTACGCCGACGACGTCGCCGTGAGAGGAAGGGGACTTCTCCATGACCGCCGCCTGGGGGATCGATCCTACGGAACCTCGGCGGGCGGTGAGCTTGGACACGCTCGCGCAGCTCTCGATGGCGCAGATCGCTCGAGATCGGCGGTTTCCCGGCCACCGGCGGCGTTCCACCTTCTCGAACACCCGCGCCGGGAACGCCGCCGCGTCGACGCGGCAGGAACCTGCCGCGTCTGGACCCGCAGCCCCCAGGGGTGTCCGCCGGACTGGGCGCCCCCGGCAAGCGGTGGCAAGGCGAGGCCTTCCACGGGCTGAGCAACCCCGACGCCTTCCTTGTGGGAGCGAACACGCACATAAACATACAAACTCAGAGGCTCGCGCTACTTCCTCGGATCGGCGCTGGGGCCCCCCTGGCGGCGCCTCTGGCGACGTTCCTGGCGCGCTTTTGTGCCTATGTCACGTTTTGTTCCCCTACACCCCTGCTCAGAGTTGAAAAGCTCTTGGCTGCGACAATGAACATCATGCCAAGCGTTTCCTTAGACAGTAGTCCAGATCCATCTGCACGAAGGAGATACGAAAAACTAAGCTCCAAGAAAGGGTCCAGGGTCTGTTCCAGATTCTGACTTTCCTGCACGGAATCTGAGGGCCATGAAAGTTGCTGCTCTTTCTCGAGATGTCTGATGGGTGCACTCCACGAGCCGAGCGAGCCCGACGCCTTCCTGGGGACGGGCGCGGGGCGCCTCCCGCAGCGCTTCCCGAACCCCCCGCACTCCCGCACGCCCCATCTTCTGGGAGGGCCCGGGCCTGGGACGGCCCTGGCCAGGGATGGTGGTGGTGGTAGTGTGCACCAGGACGCTAAGGACCACACATGTCTGGATTCACATGTGGAACATCTGAGGTGCTTGACCGCAGGGGCCTCGGCGTCCATGGCTGGACCCCGCGCGACTCGGCAGCGCGGCATGCCGCGCGGGGCACGAGTACCTGAGGGCAGGCCTGCCGTGGCAGGCCGTGCCAGCGCTGTTGCCCTTAACCTTTACTCCCTGGGCCAGCTGTGCTCCTGGAGCCACAGCGGCCAATGACGGCACCCCGTTCTGCACCCAGTCGCCCGCGCCACGGGAGGTGCATGCGGGATCGTGTGGACACGAAGGAGGAGTGTACGTGCAGGTGGGCCACGGGCTTCGGTGGATGACCTCGATGGCTGCTCTCTGACGGCGGCGCAGAAAGCCTCCGCCTCTCATTCTCTCATAACCCTCCTCCTCATCATCATGCTGATCTCACCACCATCGTTAATCCTCCTCCTCCCCCTACTCCTCCTTTTCCTCCTTTTCCTCCTACTCCTCCTGCTCCTCCTCCTCCTCCTCCTCCTCTTCCTCCTCCTCCTCCTCCTCCTCCTCCTCCTCCTCCTCCTCGTTTCTCCTCCAGGCGGATCGCCATGACTCGGGCGCGTGTGCTGCAGCGCTGGCGCGGCCGAATCGCAGCGGCGGCACGGACGGCGCCTCGGCTCTCGGAGGAGCGGCCTCTCGCTGCGTTGGGAAGGACGCTGCCCGCTGGCGCCCACAAGTTCAACGGCGCACGCGCGAAGGCTGAGCTCGGGCATGATGGGAATATTGGAAAAAAGGAATTGCACAAGGCTCAAGACCGACGGAAACGGTCGTATACGCCGCAGCCGAGCGCCATGCACAAACGAGCCGACGGCACAAGCCGACGTCACAGGGCGCCCACAAGTGGGTGGGCTCCTGGGAGGGCGGCGGGGCCTCTCCGAGGAGGCAGCGGGGCTCACTGGAAGCCCGCCCGGCTTCCGAGAAAAGCCCTCCTGGAAGCTGCTGGGGCCTTCTGGGGAGGCCCCTGCGGTCGAAGGGGCCCGCCAACCAGGGCTCCCGACCCCTTCCCCGGGGGGTAGCTTGCTGCCCTGGATAAGTTTTTGAGGCGGGCCTGGGCACAGAAGTTGGGCCCTTGGGCGCCGAACAAAAACGAGCTACGCACCAGCTGAAGAACATCTCCTCGGACGTCTGGGGAGGTCCGCTACCCTGGAGGCTCTCGAGGGCGCCGAGAGCGGCCGAAGACGCCACCCCGTTCTGCACCCAGTCGCCCGCGCCACGGGGACTGCATGCGGGACCGTGCGGGCACGACGGAAGAGTGCACATGACATGCGAGTGGGCCACGGGTTCCAGTGGATGACCTCCACGGCAGTCCTGTAGCAGCGGGGCAGAAAGCCTTCTCCTCCTCCTGCTGCTCTTGAGGCCCCGAAGACGTCTCGGGCGACTGACTGGGGCCTCCAGGGTTTACAAACCGTGCGGCAACGGACCGCGGTGAGGTCTCTTGGGATTCCGAGGTCACCGCGCGGTCCTTCGCCACACGGTTTTGGGCCCCCACCTGCTGCTGTCGGGGAAACAGGAATGTGGGGTAGGGACACAGGTGGGGTTCGAGGAAGACCGCCCCGGACGGCCTCCAGAGAAGGAAAATATTAGCCTCGAACTGGGTTCGCTCCCTCACCCCACCTTGGGCTAAACCCCCCTCTACGTACCCCCGACCCCAGACCCCCGGCGTCATGAACGTCGACCCCCAGAGGTCTCAACCCACTCCCCGGGACCGGCTCTTCATCCTGAGTCGCTTTTTAGCGGTCCCGCGGCCTGGAACAGGCCCCCAGGGGCCGAAAATGATTCAAAAATCTCCCGTCGCAATTCGCTCATGACTCCAGGGGGGTCTGGGCCTCTGGGGGCCGTCGAGGGCCCCCCTGGAGGCGCGCTCTCGAGCGCGCGCGCGCGAGCGGAGGCGGCGAGCGGCAAGCGCGCGGGCGGGCGCGCGGGCGGGCGCGGGCCATCCTCGCTGGGCGGCAGGCGCGCCCCGGGCGCGACCCGCACCACGAGTCCCCGGCCTTGCAGCGCCTGCGGCGGCGCACGGTTTACCTCTTCCCCAGGAGTCTGCAGCGCCTTTTTATCGGCACCCCTGCTCAGAGTTACGAACATCTTGAGCTAAGAAAGCTGACTTCACGCCAAGCGCTTCCCTGGACAGTGGCCCAGGTCCGGATATACTAGTACGAAAGTTCGGCGAAAAAGAAGCTCCAAGATAACGTACAGGGCCCATTATAGATTCTTGATTTTTTTGAGCGGACTCTGGAATCCATGAAAGTTGCTGCGATTCTAAAAAATTCTGATGGGTGTACACAGCTCATCTATGAATAGAGATATGAGATTGAATGTGTTTGTCTGTTCGTCTGTCTGTTTGTTTCGTTATGTTGTAGGGGGGGCACCTTCCTGCGGACTGGTTTTTCTTCAATTCCGGCGCGCTTCCTCAACTGTGGCACCCCAGGGCCCCGGCGCCATCCAAACTGGACCCAGGACGGAAAACCACCCCTACAAGGAAGGGACCCTCATATTAGAGGGCCCCAGACTCGGCAGCAGAGCAATTTGTTTGCCATTCTTTTTCTGTAAAAAAGAGCTTCTGGAACATGAAAACGACGGTTTAAAACAACGGCTCCCGGAAACGGGGGCAAAAACTGCACCGGGACTGGAACGGGGAAATAAATGTGCGACGGAACCGGGGAATAAACGGCGCTGGGCCGAGCAAACTAAATGGCAAAACGGAACTCGTAAAAGAACAGTCCTGCCGCTTACAGGGCCCATTCAGGTCCTCACATCAGTGACCAGGGCCGAGGTGCAGGAGGGGGCCCCGCCAGGCACCCTGCGCCTCGAACGAAATCTGGGCGGCGGGTCTGTCACAATTTTTGGCATCCGGAGGCCAGCTTCGGGCATCTCTTGGAGGCGCCCTCAGAGCGAGGGGGGAGAGAGGCGGGGAAGAGGACCAGGGAAGCTGGGAAATGCTAAGGGAATGGGAGGGGGTCCAGAGGGAGGGCAGGGAAGGAGGGTGACGGCAGCAGAAGCGTCCCCCCCCTCTTGTCCTTGACCTCGTGGCGCTCGCCTCGGAGCTCTTTTGGGGCACTCTTGGGCGTTCTTGGGTGCCTCCTGGGGGAGTCGTAGGCTGTCTTGGGGCCCTTTTGGTCAGTTTGGGGCGCTCTTGGGGTTGGGGTCCCGTCGAGGACGTGTGCCTCCCTGGCTGCCTCGGGGATATTCGGAGCAGTTTTGGTGCAGTCTTGGGGGCATACGGAGCCGTCTTGGCGCCCTCTTGGCTGGGGCCCAAGTTTAGGGCCAAGTCGCCCCAAACTTGGGTCGCCTTGGGGCGCCTTGGCCGCCAAGTTTGGGTCGCCTTGGGGCCAAGTTTGGGGCGCCTTGACCGTTGGCCAGGCCCCCCTAAGGCCTCTCGCGACCTTCCTGGCGTCTCTCTGTGCCATCTTGAGCATCGGGGTCCCCCTGCCGCACTCTTGTGACCTCTGAAAGCCACCTCGGGGCCATCGCGGGCCGCCTTGGGCCATATTGGCTTCCTCTTTGTGGCCTCTTGGGGCCATCTTTGGGCGAACTCGAATTCGCTTGGGTTCCTTCACACGTCCAATAAAGCCCTCTGACACTCTCTTAGGACCTCTGGGTGCGATTTTGAATCCAATTGGGCTGTGGTGGGGCCGCATTGGACCATCTTGGGGCCGTCTTGGGTTCCGCTTGGGCTCTCTAGGAGCTCCTTGGGCAGTCCTTGGCAATCTCGGGGAGTTTTTGGGGCACGCCTGGTGCTCTTTTGGGCAAGCGCTGGCTCCTCCCAAGGCCCTCCTGAAGTCTTTGTAAAGATGGCAAAGAACTCCGCGAATTCCGAACTGCAGAAAAACATAAGTTTAACTTACTGATGTTGGCTGCCTCGGAGTCAGCATCGAGCTCTCATTGTCGTGTCTTGAGGCCATCGCAGGGTACGGTTGGAGCCTCTTGGCTCATGCTGGGCTCTCCTGGACCCGTCCGGGGGAACCTCTGGGGATATGTTGGAGTGCACTCGGCCCAACTTAGAAACACACACAGGAGAAGCCTCAAATAAATCAGAGGGGGTGTCGGGAAACTCGGAAATGTCTCGCGCCGGTCTGGGTGGTTACTATGATTGAGCTGAACCGATTTAGAATCTAGCGTCTTCTTAGGTGTCTTCTGGACTGTCTAGCTCCTGTCTGGGTGTCCTCTTGTGGGCCATCTTGGGAGTCTCATTTTGGCCCTCTTGGGGGCCTCTCGGGAGCCTCTTGCGGGCTTTTCGATGGACCCTCGAATGGTTCTCAAGACCTCTGGGGCAGTCTTGGCCTGGCTTAGGGGCTCCAATCAGGCCCTCCTGGGCCGTCTGGGCGCTCTGTTTGGCCGTCTTGGGGCTCTTGGTGATTCAGGAGGGCCGCTCGGGCCGTCTTGGGCCCCTCTTGGGTCGCCTTGGCCCGTGTGGTGTTCTTTGGTGCCCTCTTGAGCCGTCTAGGCGCTCTCTCTCTTTTTTTTTTTTGTGTTGCATTCTACCAACCCCTGAACTTCTTTTCGATGCTTGAGGGCACTGTGCCTCAAGACCCCTCTTCGGGCACTTCAAGCCATCTTCCGCGGCCTGTAGTGGCCCGCCCAGGCTGAGATCCCTCAGCAGCAGCAGCGGTGACACGCACACGGGGAGAGGAGGAGGAGGAACTAGAGAACTGCACAGCGGCCTGCTGACTCCACGCTCGTGAAAGGAACGGGTGGCGGCGAGCAGTAACTCGCAGCCGAGCTTCAAAGTGTTCAGCTGGGGTTCCTGGGGTGCCCTTACGCCTGGCGGAATGGGCAGCGAGGAACGCATCGATACAGGCAGCAAAGAGAACATTAGACGAACGTGGTGAGGGTGAAAGAAGGAGGGAGGGGAAGAGCCAGGGATACCCCTCAGGAATCGACGACGACGGAGGAAGAATGTGTCCAAGCCAACAATGAAATAGATGAAAGAGACGAGGGCAGCAAGCATAGTGAGCAACTGAGTCGAGGTCACGACCTTGCGCGTGTGGGCACCCCAGGAGGCAACCTTTCGCCGCCGAACGAAATCGGGTCGAAGTACAGACTGATCTCGAGAGGAATCTGAGGAGCGACACTATCATATACGGCTGTGTTTTCTGAATCACGTAGTAGGCATTGATGAAAAACCTGTCAATCATCTCACGCTGTACTAGGGGAAACCATTTTTGAATACGACGCTGAAGAATACTGTGTGGGTGTTCTCGACGCGACGTGTTGGCCCAGAGCATAACATAAAGTAAATGTTGAAGCTTTTTGTGTTCAGATGGGATGCGTGCTAAGATAGTAGGGGGAGATGGACTTGACGGAGTGCGAGGCAGTCTGAAATACCACTCATACAGCCGGCGCATATATGCAAGGAATGATGAATTCCACCATCCACTGCAGAACCGAACGAAGGTACTTTCACGTTCATCTCGCAGGGCCTCCAGCCTCGACAACGTGACACTGAAAGTGCTGCTGCGGATAACATAGCGAAGGCACGTTGCACGGGCAAGAGTCTGAAGGTCCTGAAATTCCACAGGAAGATGGAAGCTAGATAACTGCGTACATAAGTCGTATGAGAGTGAGTTTCGTGGCCCAGCAGTGAGGTACATGACCGCCTCCTTATATATGTGAAGAAGAGCAGAGCCGTCTAGGCGCTCTCTTGGGCCATCTTGGGGCTCTTGGTGCGTCAGGAGGCCCTCTTGGGCCCCTTTTGGGCCTCGGGCCGTGTTGGGCTCGTTTTGGTACCCTCGTAATATGAATGTAGATAGACACACATGTAGACATACATAGATGTGTATGTATATCTGTATAAGCCAGCGTGGACCCCAAACAGTGACATTTTTCAGTCTACGCGGTTCAATCTAGATGGTGTACTCAATATGGTGTTATCTAGGTGGTGCAATCCACCTGTTGCAATCTTGTGATGCAAGCAATGCAAAGCAACGCGAAGCAATGCAGAGCACTGCAAAGCAAAGCGATGCAAAACAATGCAAAGCAACGCAACGCGATGCAAAGCAATGCAAACCGCTATCCAGAGCACAGCAAAGCAGAGCAATGCAACGCAATGCGAAGCAATGCAGAGCAATGCAGAGCAATGCAGAGCAATGCAAAGCGATGCAATGCGATGCAAAGTAATGCAGACCAGCGCAGAGCAATGCATGCAATGCAAGGCAATGGAAACGCAATGCGAAACAAAGCAAAGCAACGAAAAGCAATGCAACGCAATGCAATGCAAAGCAATGCAAAGCAAAACAGTGCAAAGCACTGCAAAGCAGTGCAAAGCGAGGCAACGCGGCGCAAATGGCGGCAACGGACGGCGACGGACGACCACAAGCGGGCCAGACCGACACCAGGGCCAAGCCGGACGGCGGCGACGGGCGGCGACGGGCGGCCACAAGCCTGCTGGACCGACACCGGAGCTCAGTTTCCTCAGAAGCGCAGTAAGAAACCCTAAGTGCAAGCAGTGTCTGGGGAACACGTGTACCTATATGTAGATATGCGTACAGGTACGTACACATGTGAATTTCATGTAAGTGTTGTGTGTACATGTGTTGATGAGTACATGTATATACATACATATATATATAGAGAGAGATGGGATACAAGAACCATCGCGCGCGCTTCGTGCGCGCTCCAGTTCTAGCTAGGCTCGACAGGGGGACGCATAGCACCTCAACTGTTGAAGTGCCTTTTGCATCTAACGACCTTCTTGGAGTCTCTGCGCAAGCCTATGAGGCGTACAGAAGGGGAAATGAGGAAAACACACAATCATCAATTTCCATTGGGTTTTCGATGGTTTGGGGCCCTCGAAGGCTTCCTGGGATCTGTCTTTGGTGGCGGGGGCCCTAATTTGGACTGTTGTGCTCAAAGAAAGAAAACTGGGGGAAAATTTGAAACTACAAATATTGGAATGCCTTTTCTCAAACTGCCAGGCCTGGGCTGTGGGACAGAAATCTCTGGGATACAGGACCTGGTCTGTTGGGATGGCCCTCGGGGCCTTTTTGGCTGCATCTTGAAGGTCC